AAAAAGGGTTTAGGGTGTCTTGCCTGAGTCAACAATATATAATATATCTGCTCTCGATACTTTGGTTAAACTACTTGGGGCTGAGTAGGTAACCTTTAACCTTTTGGGGCTTATATAAACCTACTATAATTCAAAAGGTTAACCTTTTTTGGGCTAAGGTACTCGGCGACTAAGAAACTAAGGCAATGGAAGGCTTCATGTTGGGAATGTTTAGCCATCTAATGGGCCCGATTCAAATCGAGGCAAACATCTTTCTCTGGGGCCTTGCTGTAGCCGTCGCCGTGGGGTTGTGCTGAAAGGCCGATCTATCTTGCAGATGCGCACTTGGAACCTCGAACCTGCCCCCTAAATACGACCTTCACACCCAAAAGTAGGTAAGCTAAACGGCCAAACACCTAAAAAACGGCTATAATTCTACATACTTTGGGGTCCAGGTAGACTCTACAAACCCGGATCTTTCGGACAAGAAATTCGTGTGCAGAGAGCCCTATGCCATGAAGCCACGCTGCCGAAGCCTTCCCAACAAGACTGTGGGGTTGGGCCGGGTTTAGGGTTTAGGGTGGCGAGCTCCAATCAAGCCTGTGTAAACCTTTTTTGAAACAAAATAAGGGGGTTTTTGCACCATTGGTGGTCGCGAGTCACAAAGGAGGCTCAGATCTGGGGATACCTCAACCTTGTCACATAGAGGCCTGAGTAAGCAGTAGAATTGACTATTATTCCTGAGGGTTTCATGTTATGCTTATTGCATACTGTACACCAAAAACCTTGTTCTAACTTTTTAAGACCCCTAGATCATCTAGACCGTATACCTTCTTTTCATTGGGTTTAAGGCGGTTTAATGGCTACGGCCAAAGCAAGACACGAAGTCCCTCGGGTCACTTTACCTGCCTTTTTGATCGACTCCACCTCGCTTGTCTCTTTTGCAGGGTGCCAACAGCCTCACCCCGCATTTTGGGGGGAAAGAGTTTCGCGGTGCGAGCAAGGGACTTCTTTAGCCATGGCCCCTAAGTAGTTCCTGTTTGGGGCTACCTTTTAGGATTCTTACTATAAACCACGAAAAGGAACTACTTAGGGGCCGATGGGTAAAGAAAGACCCACGGAAGGTCAGCCCCGCCTGGCGGAGAGCGAGGGTCTGCAGCAGCCTTTTCTCCCTAGCAGCAGCGGCCACCGACGTGGACGCCTTCAATGCCTCGGCAAATCAAGCTGACATGATTGCTCACCTCTCAAACATGCAGATCCCGGACCCTAAACCCTAAAACCCTAAACCCTGCTGCCTGAACCCTAAAGCCTTAAGCCCTAAAACCCTAAACCCTGCTGGGCAGCCTCTTGTTTTCACGCAGCCGGATGCTTTTGGACAAAGGCACAAAGGTTGCCTCTGAGAAGGACTCCAACATATGCAGCTCTCAGGGTGACCCTATTACCTAAACCTAGCTTGAGCTTCGTTTCGGCCGGGTTCCGAAATAGTGTGCATCAGGGTTAAGATCAATGACTATAGTTACTAATTGGTTATGGTAGCTACAGTTTAAGGTAGGATGTGATAGCTTGCGGTTGTTTCAGAGTTTACTAGATACAAACCCAGCCTTAAACCTCAATTGACCCCATCCGACACCCTCAGCCCTCAGCCTTGACCCTATACCGTAAGCCCTTTTAATCCCGATTCGCCCAAACCCTCAGTCCCTAAACTCTAGGCCCTATGGCCCTATACACTCTCTACCCTAAGCCCCCAAACCCCTAAACCCTAAATCCCTAAACTCTAACTCCCGGAGCCCTTTTATAAAACCTTATCCCCTAAACTCTAAACCCTGAACCCTAAACCCTCAACCGCAGCGTTAGGTGGGAGGCAAGAAAACCGTAGCCCTCTGCAGGACGGCCTGCCTTGCAAGCGTGCGGGGCCCCGCGCCCTTCCAAAGTTGCCCTCAGACTACCCGGGCCAGGGGCCCCATCTGAGGGTTTAGGGATTCAGGGTTTAGGTTCCAATTATAGGGTTTAGGGTTGAGGGTTCAGGGTTTAGGGGTTTAGAGTTTAGGGTTCTAGGGTTTGGGGGTTTAGGGTTTAGGGATTTGAGGGTTAGTTGTATTCATGTTGTATATACATTGGCCCCAAAGTACCCAAATAGGGACTATACTTTAAGGCCAAGGTATACACTATTTGGGTACATGGACCCTTAGGGTTAGGGTTTCGGATTTTGGGCGAAACGAGAGGGTTTAAGGTTGAGGATGTAGGGGTTTGGAGTTCTGGGGTTTAGAACCTAAGGGGTTTAGGGTTTAGCGGTGTAAGGGTTTTGGAGTTTTAGATATTTAGTTTATTGCTTTGAGACTTTTGAGGTTGAGGCTTTAAGGTCCCGGAGATTAGGATTTGGGGTTGAAGTTCGGTGTCGTAGGAAGTTGTGCCTGAAGCTTGGAGCTGCGAAGTGGACAGTCTCGCGAAGCAGTCATGAGCAGTGTATCAGGGTTTAGGGTTTAGGGTGCAGTCATGACGTATAGTGGGTCGAGCTAGGCGGTAAGCAGGAGTCGAGTCCCGTGTGGGTAGCTCTCGAAATTAGGTCCCAGTTAGGCTCAGTTTTATAAGGGTGCCGGACAAAACTGGGTATTTAAAAATGCGACCTTGATTTTGAAAACTGCCCTTGTGAAAAAAAAAAGTTGTTTATATGGTGGCGTTTGGAGCTTGGCTGAAGGGATTCAGGGCCTAGTGCATTGCAGCCCCTGCTCAAAAACAGGTTGTTCCGTCGCTCATGGCTTGATTCGTGGCACCGAAGGAAGTAACCTTAGGGAGAAAGTCCAGGATTTCGAGCATTGCGTCGGGGCTTCGGAGGATTTGTTGGCAGATAAACGCAGACCACCCTTCATAGTCATACCGAAGTATTGGGAGTTCTGGACCTAAAGACCTAAATCATCGTGCTACGCCTCCCAAGAAGCCTAAAACCGTAGAGCCCTAAACCTCACATCCCAAAGGCCTGAAGCCCTCCATATTAGAGCCCCACAAGCGTCACTCTCAAAATCCTAGAACTCTAGATCCTAAACCCTACATTGCAAAAACACTGCAGCCCAAGCGGAACAAACAGGGTCGAAGCCGTGGCTCGCATTTTCAATCTGCGATAGAGACGCCTGAATAACTCGGTAAGGCTATTCCTAGGGGTCGTCATCCCACTCATGGTTCAAGATTTAAGCACCGAAATTGCCGGAACATGCTGTAGTCGGAATAAGTTCCCAGAGCGCCCAGCACCCCTGAATTCAACAATACACCCTCTATGATAATGTATGTGTGTATGTATGTATGTATGTATGTATGTATGTATGTATGTATGTATGTATGTATGTAGGTATGTATGTATAGACAGATAGATAGATAGATAGATAGATGGATGGATAGATAGATAGATAGATAGATAGAGCGAGTGCGAGAGAGCGAGACATGTTGATCGTAGAAATCCAAATATACGGTTTGCTCATACTCCTGTTTCTTCTTTGAGGAGTACTGGGCTCGCTGGGTGGTGCTTTTTGGAGAGAGTGGCTTCTGTTTCTCTTGTCGATAGCACAGTATACCCCAGGGCACTTCGGAATTATTCTTCTTCGAACATCCCCCGGTACGACCGGAACAGCTGAGTTATTATGAACGCTGTTGTTGGCCATGCGGGTTGATCAACATCATCAGATGATGTTGATGGATATAGCGATAGCAACATCAGGTCTCATGAAAACTGAACGACCGCAATGCTTTGAACATATTGCCTTTGTTCTGCTTCTGACAGGCAAAGAAGCTTGCCGCATCTTCACCTTGTGGGAGTACCCGGAAAAAGGACCACGTCAGCACGGACGCTCTCACTTGCTCGGATTGGTGCTAGGAGGAATGAAGGATGAGCTGCAATTTACAGCTGAGTGCATTGTGCCTGAGTTCGGGGTGTTTCGGGCTTGCTGCCACAGCAGGCAGTACTGCACTGAGACGATTTACCTGAAGCCCTAAAGGCTCTAAACCAGTGCCATGCCTGCCTTGTGCGAGTTTGCGTGTGTGACGAAAGGCCATGAAAGGCCCTAAACTATGTTCCTACGAGAGGCCTTGACGATCAAATCAAACTAGAGCACTACGTGCCCTCGGTGACACCGAACATCTCTGAACCCGAACATAACGGCATGCAATCAGAATATAATATTATATATATATATAGTATAATCATAATAATAATGATAAGAATAACAACAATAACAACAACACACCTTACTAGTAAGACATACTTATGAAAGATCGTATCAAGGTAGAGCCTCAAGTTCGGCCTTTTTTGAGAAGGCCCGAGACCTGGTGGGTTCTGTACGAGGACATTGTGACGAACCCCTTTAAATAGCCCTGATGGAGGAACTATATATATATATATACACACATATATATATATACATACCTTGAAGTTACGTAATGAGAGTTGGTACTAAATTTGGGATGATAGTGTTGTAGGTTAACTTTGGTGAGTACATGCTTACGGGATACATGGACCTTGAGAGTAAGCCGGTAACCAGTCTTCTACCTTTGGACTGCCCAAACATGGTATCCTACCGTAGCACGCAGAGAGAGTCGAAACGAAAGGACTTGCAGAAAGGGTCACTTATCTACATCTGCAGGAGGGGGTAGAACTGCCGATTGCCGATATGGTGCATCGTATACTGCCCTGGCCGATGCTGGACAGGATTCTTCCAAATTAATGAAGGACTACATGCGGGTTGAGTGCAGGAGTGTTTGGGCCTTTAATTGAAAGTTCCTAAATCTTTAATCCAACGCTCTAACTTGTTGAGTTTTCCTTCCACTGCACTACAAGCCCCAAGATGCGACGTTAAAGCCCGGAGCCGCAAACGCTAAACTGTACCCCGGTGAGGAGAAGGATCCTAACCGACCATACACACTCTGGTATGCCGCCTGGTCCTTGCGAAATCAGCGGCAAAGTTCTAGTTTTGCCGAAACCCTGGACCCCAGCTAAACCCTGAGCCCAAACTAGAGCAGGACCTCCTGTGTTCAAGATGCTGAATGTGGAGTCATGGCGCCGACACACTCATGGCTTGTGTCAGGCGACCTGAGGTTAGGGTTTAGCCTTGAGGTTCACAGTCCTTCTGCTTTTCGCAGATACTATATTCTCATCCTCTCCTGGTTGAGCTTTCGAAAATTTTTGCTTCGGTTGTTCTAATCCTGGTTTGTGTGGCCTTTCGATCTCGCGACTGCAATTGCCTCGGTGCTGACTTATTTTTATTTTCCCGGGTCTTCATTCATGGAAGCCGGAGGCAGTCTTTTTTCCATGCGAAATTTCAGCACGCCCGAAACGCCTAGTTGCCGAACTGCTTTTTGCCTGGTGGAAACGTGTCGTTGCGCTGCTGCCCTTGCAGGAGCCCGTCCTCATCAATGACCAGCTGCTTGGTCTCAGTGGACACGGTGGTCATGACGGGACATGGCCCTCTTGAGACTGATGTTGGTGATTTTTTAAGATCCCAAACCTAAACTCTAAACCCTAAACCTTACACCCCAAACCCTAAGATCCCAAACCTAAACCCTAAACCAGAAGCTCATGTTGAAAAAGGAGACGGGGCCCAGAGCAGAGCTTGCAAGCACGATAGTGACTGCGATTAGCCTCACACATCAGTGTCACGACTCTACACGCTGTCTTTTTCCTGGTGGTGTCCTTATTTGACGCTCTGGAGCTGGTTACCCGGTAGCCAATGAATCTACATGTAGGAAGCTTGTGATGTTCTTGTCAGATTACGTCATGTTTTCTGTGTGCCCCCTAAATCCGAAAGCGTAATGCAGGCCCCCCCAAAACTAACCAGCATTGCCCAGGAACGTGAAAAAGTGGATACCTGACTTGCCAGAGGAGTACTTCAGGCCAGAACCCGCCCCCCCCCCCACCGCCCCCAGCCCTAAACCCTAAACTAACTCTAGGACAGCCAATTGGCTGTCCCTTTGCCAAAGTGCCGTCGTCGTACCCGTAACCTCGCCAAGGCATGTCCGAGAGTGAGTGCTGAAACTAACTCTAGGCGCCAACCCACCTCACCAACCTGGGCCCCGACCTCCCCTCCCCAAAGTGTACTATCAAGCTGGAAGAGTGTGTTGATCCCAGGCTTTGGGGCTGAGGAGAAAGTATCGACGTTTAGGCGTATAGGGTTTTGGAGTATAGGCTAGAGCTCCGAATATCCCGTCGTCGTACCTGTACCGACATACTCCAATCACCAAGAGACTTACATCATATACCCCCCCCCCAAATCCCGGGCTTCCTGATACGATGCCCTAGATCAGCTGGTGCAGCTCCAGGCTTTTGCTAGAAGCCACGGTTTAGCTTTTGGGGTTCAGAAGTTTGGGATGCCGGGGTTTAGGGTTTCCCTCCCCTTGTCTGTTTGAGACGTCCTGATGAGAGGGCTCCCACGCTTTCAAACCTGCAGGCATGCACTTAGATAGCCATTTGGGGGAACTTTATTCTTGCTCTGGCCTTACATGTTTTGTCTACCTCAGAAAGTTTTACGTAACTTGGTTTTGCCCGGATATTGAAGAAGAGAGATCCCCTTCTTTGGAAGCCATACCCCCCTNNTCCCCCCCCCCCCCCCCCCGAATCCACACACCCGAACCACCCCCCCTTCTCGCAAGAGAAGACAGAAACCCCAAGCCGAGGCTTCTAAGACTTGCATAAGGGCAGCGGGGCGCATCGGCACCCTGCAAACTCCCGACGCCCATGTAATCGACATTGAAGATGCCATGCAGAAACCACTCAGACACCCAGGCCGCCACCCAACCTCTAAACAACACCCAGGCTGCAGATTCTAAGCCATAAATAGCTTTTCGAAACCCTAAATCCCTAAACAAGAAAAACCCTAGAGCCCGAAACCCTCTCTAAACCCTCCAGCCCCTGAATTCCCAACTGTCTCAGCTTATCTAGGAGCCACCGAGGTTCTGAGGGCCCAATATCCCCTAAGAGATATTCTTTTAATCGTTAGGAAAAATCCTACTTGCTAAGCCTTTCAAGGATGACTGAGGATTAGTCCTTGGGTCGCTACGATGACTTGCGGAATATTCCTGCAGCCATAGTATAATTGCTTGTGGTGTACAAGAATCCCCAAGATGATTCAAGGAATATTGCCTGAATTGGCAGCTTATATAAACCCTAAACCCTAAACTTTTAAACCCCAAACCCTAAACCCTCAACCCGAAACCCTAAACCCTAAACCTATAGTGTTTCTGGGAGGATGCCAGCTCCAGCGCCAAAGTCGGACCTCATCCGATACGCGCTCCTCTACCATCACGGGGGCTTGCCTCTCGCCCCCGATTTCTGCTTCAGGTCGTTTGGTGTTAGGGTTTAGGGTTTAGGGTTTAGGGTTTGGGGCCTTGCAAAGCTCCGGACAGCCCCAACACCTCTTAATGAAGTACAGTAAGAAGGAAATAGTAATAAAGAGCCCTACAACCCCAAACCTCTGAACCCTCAACCGTAAACTCCCTAATTAAACCCTAAACCCCTAAACCCTAAAATCATTTAGGTAAGCCTTGTCTTCAAGACGCAGCCTCAGCTGTAAAGTCTACTCTTGACAGACACACCTTGACCGCAGAAAGGTACATGGACGCCGACTTCGTGGCGGTGAAGGCCTTACCGGGTGTAGGGTTCTTAGGGTTTAGCGTTTAGGGCCGATTTATGTGCTGCAGCTAGGGAGGTTGGAGGTGTTGAGCTTTGCCGCCCTGAGCATTAGCGAAGATAGTTCTATATCTACCCTTGCGCAGAAATCCTAAACCCCACTTCCATAGCCTATTCTTTGTAGGTTCTTGTTATGAACCCATATACGGGATTTAGAGGGACTCTCCGAAAAAGAAGGTTCTGGTATGGCTGTAGCATACATGTAGGCAGCCCGTGCCACATCGCGTGGCTTCCAGCCTCCCCCCACAAGTTTTGTCGCCAGGACATGGATCCCATCCTTGCACTGCTGCACACACACGATTTCGTCTCCTATCAAGAGAAAGGACCCCGCCATTCCGGGAGTCCCCTTTTTTCGGACGCTTCAGGGCTTCAAGCACGAATTCTGTAGTGAAGCTTTTTGTCCGTTCAAGCCGTGTCGATGCGACCCCAAATCCGAAGCCCCTAAACCCCCGAAACCTAAGCCCTAAAAACCCAAAAGCCCTTAAACCCGAATCTGTTCTCTGCGACCAACTTCAGAGTCACAGAGATGGGCTGGATTGGACGGCTGACACTCGAAACTCGAAACATGTAACCATCCGGAACCACTGAATAATGCTTCAGCCGACTGCTCCATGATTGCAAAGCCCTGATTAAACCCTCAACCTTAAGGGCTTCGCGTTTCTTGTCTTTGCTATGTAGGAGGGAAAAAAGGGTGTCGAGTTTAGGGGTTAGGGTGTCGGGTCTTAGGAGGGCTAGGGCCCAACCTGAATGTGTAAGCGGTGTAGGCAGTTCCCGCCGGATACTCACGGTCGTGCGCACTCAACTCACTCAACTTGCTGACAGCCCAAGCCGGCTCGGGTTCTTAGAGCCACAGGCCCGGACGCACTGAATCCGTAAAGTCCGAATGCCCCGAACCCTGAAAAGGACTGTGGCCCAAGGACCACGCAGGCTGTCTGTCGGTGAGATTGGAATCTGTCAGATGGCATCCCGCGGATTCCGCAGCATTCCTTTCAAACCGACATGAAGTTGTAGATGCTAAACTAGCTTAAGCTTAAACGTAAAATGCCGCCTAAATGCATACATACATACATGCATACATACATACATACACTCCCCGGGTTGCTTGCACGAGGAGAGCCAGGACAAGTTTGCAGCGCAGCTTTCAGCTCCAACTTGATCGGCGGGAGGCCGATGTTGAACAGTTATGTTGTTTTTGCTTAATTAATGGGTTTATGCGCTTATAATGTAGAATGTAGACCCACGATTCCCAAAGCAACCTCAACACCGAAAGCTCAACCAGAACAAATGCCCGATACTGTACGCTGAATGCCGAACCCCACCTGGAGCAAGCACTACATGAAGGTCTGGATGCTCCAGAGGAGTGTATATGTGGATCCTTACTTGGGGAATAAGCCCTCTACATCAACACTACATGAACGTCTGGATGCTCCTTAGGAGTGTATATGTGGAGCCTTACTTTGGGGAGTAAGCCCTCTACGTCAACTGAATCTTGTCGGCTGTCAAGTTTATTCTTCCGTTGCTTGGTGTTCGGGGCCCTTCCAAACTCCTTCGATACCAGTTCCTTTCCAGGTGATGTTGAGACAACTTCCAGCTGATGTTGCATTATTTCTTTTGTCCTAAAGCCTTATCCTTGAGCCCTTCTCCTTACCTGCAAGTTTCAGTATTACAAACAAGGGAATCCGACGAGAGGGTTTAGGGTCTAGGGACCCAGGTTTTTAGCCCCTGGCCGCGCCGTAAACTAAGATCCCACCAACCCTTAAGCCTCAAGCGGGACACTACACTCTAAACACCCTTAACCCTTAGCCCTAAACCCTAAACCGTAAACGCCCTAAACCCTTAACCCTTAGCCCTCACCCCGAGAGACTCCCACCCCTTACATGCCGCAAACCCGAAACTCTGAAACCAAATTCTTCAGTCCCAAGCATCTGCAGAGTGAAAGTTGTTAGGCTTTCTTCCGCAAAAATAGGGGACTTTATCGTAAGGATCTCGTTAGCGAGGCTGTTTGACAGTACCTCTTCCTTGCTTCTTTGTTCCCCATTAGGGCTTGAAGCCCGCAACTAACCCACGCAAGTTTAACGGTCCCAGAGGAGAGGCAGCCCAGTGTTCAAGTTCCTGTGGGAGCGCCAGAAGGACGCGCCTGCAGAAGCTTTTGGGCCGAGCCCCCGGTGGTTTAGGGTTTAGGGCAACGCGCACAGAGCCCAATATATACGAGGGTTTAGGATTACTACACCTATAGCTACAGGTACTCTGAGCACCTTCAATCACTGCAAGAACTTCCAAGAACACTATAGAGTTGTTAATGCTGTCATTATGGGTTTTTCAAAAACCAAAGCCCCATACCCTAAACCATATTATCGGTGTTTCAGGTCTGGCACTCGACGACATGTTCAAAGCTGAAGCTTCCCTCACAGAAAAGCCATCTGCTAAACCCAAAGGGCGCAATCTTCACCCGCACCGTCAAGTGCTAAAACATACATCTACGTTGATGGATGTCGCAAGTTAATTAAGGAGTATTCGTGCTTAGGTATTGGAGTTTATATAGTTATGGTGCTCTCCGGGAGCATAGCAAGTCAAGCTCGATGTCCCAGAGCCTCCTCAACTGGGTTGGCCGACAGTGAGCTTACAAGTACAATCCGTCTTTCGAGCACGGACAGAGGCTGAGTGCCATTGTCATTTGGGCACCCTAAACCCTAAACCCTAAACCCCTAAACCCTAAAAACCGTCGAAGTCTGGAGTTCGACACAAGTAAACCGAAATGTCCTCACATGATAATGCAAGCGCATCCTGAACTCATAGGGACTCTTACGGGGGTAGAAGGGAGGGGGGTAGGGGACTATAGACTATACTTCCTTAAATAGGCCTTATTAGGTCCTCATGGAGAGACTGTGAGGAGAAGTTGCGCAAAAAATGTGGCCACACAAATCCTGGAGAGGTGCGGCAAGCATTTAGGGAAATTTCGGGGCTTGGGAAGCTGCTCGGTTGGGGTTTGGGGCTTTGGGGTTTTAGGTCTTCGGGTTTTGGTGTTTTTTTTGGTTTGCCATTTGCACTGTCTTGGTGTCTGGGGGCCATGTTGTCATTCTAAGTATGGCCCCGAAATTTAGCATTGAGAGCCTATGCAGCTCTTGAGCTTCAACACCGTTGCTTACTTGTTTATGAGCTTCGCTGTGGCCTCAACCCATGACCTTCTGCAACTCATCGTTGTCCCGACTCTGTGGAGTCAGGGGTGCCAAGGGTCTAGGGCCTGAAGTTGGTTGAGGGTTTGGGGTTCAGGGTCCAAGCTGGCGGCCTCAAGTCCTGAAGTGGTAGCCGTAAACCCTAAACCCCTAAACCCTTAAACCCTAAACCCCTGAACCCCTTCATGGTGTGCTTCTGGCCTAGGGTGGATCCGAACGCCAGCTTGTGCATCGTTGAGAGAAAGTGTCCGTACCATGACCTAACTACCAGAACCTACCTTGCGTAGGGTCCCTAATAAATTCCCTTTGGGTAGCTCTCTAAATTAGAATCCCTTTTCCGGTCCTTTTTAGAAGGTGGCCGCTATATTTGGGACCTAATCAGGGACCCCAATTTAGACAACTACCTATACATGTATATATATATATATGTAGACACACACACACACGGGCTTATAACCTACAAGAGTAGGTTTAAGGTAAGGCAAGGGTCCAGGTACCTAGAATGTACTGTTGCCTTAAAGTACGGTTGCTTCATGGCCCAAGTGACTGGCATGGACCGTACATGGGCGATAAAATTAACAACCACACTAGACCCCATACAACCCTCATAAAGGCACCCTAAACCCTAAACCCTTCACCCTAAACCCAAAACCCTAAACCTTCAACCCCTAAACCCTAAACTCTAAAGCCTGAACAGGAATCCTGAAAGGAGCCTTTCTTGAACCCTAAACTCTAAACCCTGAACAGGAATCCTGAAAGGAGCTTTTCTTGAAGGGTGCATGGGCTCTTAGGACTTGAAAAGCAGCTGCAGAGAGGCTCAGGGCTCGACAGCAAAGAGCTGAAGCAACTAGCAAAGGGTGTCGGGTTTCGGGTTTAGGATTTGGGGGTTTAGGGTTTAGGGTTTAGGATTTGGGAGTTAGGGTTTAGGGTTTTGGGTTTAGGGGTTTAGGGTTTGGGATTTGGGGGTTAGGGGCGGAAGGTTTAGTAGAAGCATCCCGAAACCTCACCCGCTGCAACACTTTGGGGCGAACGAACAGGCACAAGTCACAAGTAGTAATGTGAACAAACATGAAGCACTAGTCACAGTAGTAATGTATGATCCCTGCACAGCCCCTATAGACTACTTCACACCTGTACTAGAATGTGCGACCCCCCGAAACCCTATACTACGCTTCTAGGCATTAAGGCCACTATCGAATTCGAGCAGGCATGCTGCCCGGAGAATGCCCGGCGACAGTGCACAGTTCCATGGGCTGCGCTCGGCGAGGGCGTCCCGCAGACGGCAAGCAGTGATTTCAGCAAGGGGTTGCAGCTCACCGTCTTAACTGTCATTCTAGCAGAAGCCTATTGCCAGAGACCCGGCTACTTCTTGATTGAAGAATAAGGGTGAGGGTCCTCGAGCTCAAATCTTCAGCACATCCCTCACATAAGTTTCTTACAGCCCTTCAGGTCACCCACCCTGCATTCAACGAGCTGTTGAAGACAGGCCGGTGTGGTGTTGGTGTCCGGGCTCAGGGCTCATGGTTCCGGGTGAATCATCAAGATTTTACCCCAAAACCCCCCAAGCCCCCTAAAACCCCGAACCCTAACCTTAGGCCCTAAACCCCAAACCCATAAGCCCCAAACCTTAAAACCCCAAACCGTAAAACCCGAAAAAAAACAGATTAAGACCTTAAATCCATCGCCCTGAAGGCGAAATCTTCGAGACCTTCTGCTTCGCCGACGAATGGTCTTTCGTGCCGGACCACTTCGCCTACTCCGTGGAGCACATTCCCTCCAAGGACACTGCTGAAGGCTTAGAAAACGCCCTGAACCTTGTTTGCATGCTACGCGAGTATGCGAGTAGAAGCCCCATTTGTGGCGGAAAAAAACTTTTCCAGGATTCCTTGTTACGGGTCTACATATATGTATATATATATACACACATACACACACACACACTCTCTCTCTCTATCTATATCTACATATATATATATACATATATATTCCCCATTAAAGTGGTGTTTTTGACCAACACAGGTAGGCTTGTATAGGCTTCCGATTTCGATGGCTCAAGGCTTAAAGCTCAAACCCGGACGCCTGTGCGGTTACAGAGAAGGTCTTTAGAAACCCTAAGCCCTAAACCCCTAAACCCTAATTTCGGGCTTCGGGCTTAGAGTTTAGCCTTGGAGCCCCCTGTAAACACACCCTGACCACGACGCCTAAACCGGCTGTCCTTGTGGATGTGACGGTGCTCGCAAAGTCGGGCTTTGGGCATTATAGGCTTTACAGTTTTAACTTTGGGAGTTTAGGGTTAAGTTACGTCTGTAAGTTCAGCTGGGAAGGGGATCACGAGGGAACTCTGTGAGGCCATCAAGACAACAGGCCATGCAGGAGCTGCTCAACCTCGCAGTATGGTGCTGTACTCTCATTAACTCTCATGGTCGAAGCCCCGAAATAAGCAACATAAGCCAGACCGCACTTGCTGAGCATCCGCAGCATCTATGAGAGTTGCTTATAAGGCTCCGCGTACTACATGGCACATGATGTGCACGGGGAGGCAGGAATCCAGGTTTGAACCGCCATACAGGTTACCCGAGCACCCAAGCTGAGTCACAAAAACCTGCTACGGAATTATATAAGCAACATTTATAAGGAAGCCTTAACAGGTAGGTATCAGAGGCTGCGGACAAAGCCTGAACCTCCGCTCCTCCCCGAGTTACACAACCACAACTCCCGAGGCTCGAGTCTCTATTCAATCCTTCAATCCCAGGGAACCCCCAAACCCTAAGCTTCTGCGAGATGTGAGAGGGTAAACCCTTAATCCTAAACCCTGAATCGGAGCCCATGCCTGTAGGGTTTCGGGTTTCGGGTCGATCGGCCCCGAACTCACGGGACACCTCAGGTTTGACGGCTCGAGCTACTGGGCCTAACCCAATGCATGTGCCCTGGGTGCACGGGCATGGCGGGCTTATCCCCACACCCAACAAACGTAAGTTGCAACCCCAGGGAATACTGTATAACGGACGGGGGAGGAGGTGTCGGAATGAGGAGCTGAGAAACCCCTTCTGTCGGAGTATGTTGGAGTCAACACCAGTTTTCTGTCAACACCCGAACTCCACGCAACATCTAGAAGTAGGTTTGAAACCCGAAGCTTAGTCCGTGCAGTATCAGAGCACACATCTTGCACAATGCGATTTCCTGCAGCCCCGAAACACCCCTAACCCCAAAAGACCCCACCAGCTTAAACCGTAATCCTGAAGCGTGCGATCACTTAGAATAAAGCTTTCAACATAAGAAACACTTTAAGACCCATGTCCTCCGAGCCTGAGATGAGAGGACGAGGCTTTGAAATACATGGTGGCACCTTGGCTTCCTCATGAGCTTAGTAGCTGGGGTTCAATCAAAACGCGTATCGTTTCTTTCAAACTCTGCAGGTTAAGGTTTTCAAAATTAATGGTAGAATTCCTTTAAAGGGGGTCTAGAGGCTTAAGGTCTAGGTTGTAAGGGTTGTGGCTTCTGTTTCAGGGCAAAGAAAATTACAGAGCTTAATGCATGTACATCAGTTGCGTTGCCCGAGGACCGAAACATCCCACAGCCGCTGGACAGGACCTGCTGCATCAACCTTTTGTGTTGCCACGACGCATGTGCAGGGATATGGGATAAAAAGGTTGGGAGAATATACGGGTCGTTGGGTGCGCAAGCTAGTCACGGTTTCGCCTGTTACCCTCCACCATGGTCCTTTTGATACTATCAGTTCGATGATCATGAACAGTACGTAATGGGGGTCGAAAGTGATGGCCAAGCCCGCTTTTCCGTTTGTGTCAGTGTGCCCGTCGGCACTTCGCCTGTTGACATGTGCTTTCATTCAAAGCACCGACATCAAATAGTTGGCACAAGTTCTCTATGTGCAGATTTGTTTCATACCTTGCATTGCAAGTCCACGACTCAAACCTATTTGCTTTCCTATGTAATGATGCTGCTTTGATTTTGCCTATTTTCTTGTATGTCATATCTTGGGTGTATAGTAAGCCCCAAAAAGTTGGAAACCGGTTCAAGGACAAATGGTGCTGGGATTCCCTATACATTGCTCTTATGGATTGAGGCTATTGGGTTTCCAACTTTTCGGCTTCTACTATATGCTTTCGCAACAAATGCTCTACAGCTGTTCGGTGTGTTTGTGCACCTGAAAAAATGACGCAGCCAGGTCCAATTCACCAACGAAAACACATCCTCCGAAACCCTAAACCCCAGAGGATTCAGTAGGTCCACACAGCCAGCCTATGACCACATGCTTCGGATTGTCCGAATGTGAGCGCCGACGCTCGCAGGATCGTTTACCACCTTTTCAACGCCATTACACCGCTTCACAAGTTCAAATGTGCCTGGGGGCGATATCGGATTCTCAAACTCAAAGCTTCCAACAATAATCGACGTCATGTCACAACCAACCCTGAACATCTGCTTGCAATGTGGCAGCCTGCACGACAAATTCCAGTATTCGCAACCAACCTCAGCATATTGTGCTTTCGCGTTCAAGGATTAGGCTTAGAGATCAGCCAGACCCACCGTTGTGGCTCCTTTTCGTGGGTTGCGTTTTTCTCCGAGCCGTAAGCATAAGCCTTGTCGAGAAGGAATAGCCAATTTCTTGAACTCCGGGGTCCATAGACATTCTGTAGCAGGGTTTATAATAAGAACTTTCAACGAAGCAGGTTATGGCGGTTTAAGGTCAAGGTCAGGACATTCTTTTATCAATGGCATCGTCGGGGCGCGGAGCACTCAGAAAGTAGGGTTGTGGGTGGGGCCTGCATGGAAATCTAAACCTCGAGCCCAAAAATCCCGAACCGCACAAACCTTAAGCAGCAACTCTTGCGTATCTGCATAACTATCAACCTCAGGCATACATGGCTCTGCAGGTCGTGAATCTCCAATCAAGCCCAGCGATCTGAATTCTTCCGGCGACAGCTCCCAAGGTTCGTCAGTGACATATGGTTTAGGGTTTATGGTTCAGCGATATAGGGTTTAGGGTTTGTTTCTGGGATCCTACTATAACGTAGCGAAACCATAAAGAGTGCATTACATTGTCCCAGTGGGGTTACTGAACAGCCTAATATAGGGGCCTCAATAATTACCTATATTATTTTTGGGGGGGTCCTTATTCTAATTATAGAATAATGGGCCCCAAAACCCTATTCTAATTATGAAGGCCCTTTTTTAGTTTTCTTGGTCCTGAAGATTTCCGCTGTCCCTTGGGACAAAGGTGCGACTTTGCTGGATCCACGGAGGCTCGTCGGCCATCTCTACACAGATGCTTGGAAGCATCTAAACCCCAAACCCTAAACCCTAAACCCCAAACCCCTAAACCCCTAAACCCCAAAACCCTAAACCCTTAAACCCTAAACCCTAAACAGTAAACCCAACCCGCAGCTGGGAGCTTAGTCGGTATGCTTTGAGCAAGCAGAATTCCTGATGGCTGGCGCTGACTGACGCATGCCCGACCGAGCCCTCGACCCTATAACCCGGAATCCAAAACCCAAGGAGACACCATCGTATAACCTGGAATCCGAAATCCAAACAGAAGCCCGTGTTGGCCTGAAGCGGCCTCTTAGGTTTGTGCTGCCGACAAAACCTCCTCACAGGAAGGTCTGGCCGATATGAGGAAACATACACGTCGTCAAGACCAGAAGCCCTCACTGTGCTGCCTGTCCTGCAACATCTTCCCCAAGAGAAAGCACGAAGCACGGACCCTCGAAAGCCAAAGTCCTAAACTTATCCTAGATTGTTACCGCCTAAACCCTAAACCTTACCGTCATAAGGAGCCCGTATAGGACTAAACCCAAAGCTGAAGAAACCCTAAACAGCATCCTGGAAACCTTATCTAAAGGAGAGCTTCCGCTCGGAGACCGGGCGTCGACCTGTGGAGCACAGCGAGGAGTCGGATGCCTGGCTTGAGGACGGGGTTTAAGGTTTAGGGTGCTGAAAGGGTTTAGGGTTCAGGGTTTGGGGCTCTTGTGTTGTTTTGCTTTGGGGCTATGTATCTATGTAACCATGTATGTATGTATGTATGTATGTATGTATCTATGTATCTATGTATCTATGTATGTGTGTACCTATGTATCTATGCATGTGCCTATGTATCTATGTCTATGTCGTGTTGTTTGTCTGTTTGTCTGTCTGTCTGTCTGTCTGTCTGTCTGTCTGTCTGTATATATGTATGTATGTATGGATGTCTGTACGGATGTATGGGTGTATGTATGTAGAGGCACTCTTGCCTGAACGCATGCACCTGCTTACCCGCACACAGAAACATGTGCAGGCGTATGTATGTATGTATGTATGTATGTATGTATGTATGTACATATATATATATACATGTATATGTACATACGTGCTCAACCGACCGTTTATATGTATGTATAGGTATCTTTGTACACGGATGGTTTTCGCCCCTTAACTTTGCGGTTTATGGCTATGTTTGTGGGTTGGGTTAGTGACGTTTTGTGCCAGCCTCGGCATCAACTTGTGGAGAGGGCAGTGCGACAGTTGCACGATTCCCGTGTTTCTGTATGTTGAAAACACAAATTGGGATCCTAGTTTCAAGGCCTGCACTATGTCTTGCTGATACCGCGAGGTATCGTTCCGTAAGCCCTGTGTAAACCTCATATCGTATAGTAATTAGGTAGGGCAGGATGCGTATAGATACCCGAAACCTTAAACATGGAGCCCAAAGGAACCCTAAACGGCCCTAAACCCCCCAAAAGCTTAAGCTTTGGAGGAGCACCCGGAGTTTGTCAAGTACCAGCAGGCCGGGTGGCTCGTACTCCTAATTACACCCCATAGCTTCGAATCGAGAACTTGCCGACCCCCTGCAAAGCATACCTTGTTTTGGGCTCCTTATGGTCTCCTTGCATGTGCTATTTTTAGCTACGCCCCTGCAGCACAGTGCATTGTCCCGGTTATCGCCGGCGTCCTGCACATGTACTACTGTTATTATTACCGCTGCTGCTACTACTGTTGCTGCTGCTGCAGCTACTGACACTGCTATTATTACTGCTTCTGCTACTGCTACTGCTGGTACTACTACTGCTACCGCTGCTGCTACTACTACTACTACTACGACGACGACGACGACAAAAACTACTATTACGACTGCTACTATGCCGTTGGATCCCGGACGGCCATGCACATTATGCTAGTTTTGAGCCCTTCTTCCCTAACTTCATGGTAGTGCCGTAGTGTAGAGTAGGACCTGAATATTTTCTTCTAGTATCCCCTTGCCTTATCCGCCCTGTAGGTATGTTGTATAGTGTACCCCCCCCCCCCCCCACAACAAGATCTGATTATGTATTCTGGCTTCTGCATCATAGAACAGCTATAGTAACCCTCGAGGCGGACCCTCAGAGAAACCCGATTCCTGCATAGTATCTATGGAGCCCCGGGAAAGATCGGGGCCCTCTAAGCCTTAAATCTTAAACACTGAACCCTAAACCCTGCTTCGAGGTGCACAACGGCTGGCAGCCATGTCCCGGCCCCGCTGACGTCACAGAAGCGCCGACATCCACGGCCGATTCAGAGGAAGGGGTTTAGGGTTTGGGGCTTAGGGCTTAGGGGCTGAAGAGGAATTCGACGAGAACCTCCTTGCTCTGGAGCCATCGGGCTGTCTTCACTGGGTGCTGGCTCATTGTTGGGAGTTTTCGCGCTTGTCGGGCTCAACTGCAGCCAACAAGTCATCCGGCCTGTGGCGAGATTAGGAGGCTCTTCTTTCAAGCGGAGGATTGCAGCTTTGCGTTTTTTCAACTCAGTCGCTACATAGGCAGACCACTGCCATGGAGCCTACGTCTAAAAGATTCTTCAGTGCAGCTCCTCATATCTTTCATGGCTCCTGTCTGGAAACAATTTGAAGACGCTTTCAATTCAAGGGGAATCGGGAAGGTTCATAGTAGGGATGCCGGGCTTAGGGCGGTGGGACCTAGAATTAGGTGGCATCCCGAGCCTCCCACAGAAGTGTCTTGGGTTGCGTTTGTCCAGCGGTCCCTCTTGCTTCCGAAGGCCGGAACCCCAAGGGCCCAAAAGCCCTAGAACACCCTAATGCCGAAACCGTCTTAACACCAGCACCCCCGCAGGAGAGGCAATGTCAGATCTTTACACTCTGGGAGTACAAGTCTGGTCCGCCTCTCTCTGTGGCCCTGAATGTGGAAGGCCGGTCAGGGTTTCGGCTGTTGATATGAGAGAAGTATTGAGAAGGCCCGGCCCCCGTTCACATACCTGAAATCATGACTTTTCGTCGGAAGCACCGTTGGAGATCACCAGCCATGTCGCACGCAACATATTGGAGAGTTGCAGGAGCCTCAGTAGCTGGAGGTGACCTCGTATTAAACAGCGCATGCGTCGTCCCTGTACGTCAGAGGACACCTTGGGTTAGAGTTGCCATGATGAGACAGTTCGAACCGGCATGGCTGCGCAGTTGGAATGGCTCATATGTTCAATTCATGCCAACGTCCGTAGTTCTTCACAGCTCAAGAGTTCGACGGGTCCAGGTTATGTGTCTACTGTATATCCACTGAGCCAACAACCCTCGGTCAAGGACTATACTATACCGTAAATCCACAGCGGATCCAGACTACATTTTATAACTATATGTGACATAGTGTATCTTCCGGAATTCAGGGGTCTTGGGATCTCGGGGTACTATGGGGGTATAGGCATATAGGCTCTGTGCTGAAAAAAGGAGCCATGGCTTTGATCCCAGTAGCCTCGCCTTTGGCCCTTGGCTCTGCGGCCGGTGTTCTGCAGCCACGGAGGGAAGTGCGAAGCTCGGGAGGCGCATTGAAATCGATTTTTAGCTTTCGGGCCTCCCCGGGGAACTGGGCCTTCATAACCTTATAGAACTTTTTAGGATTCCTGCATTCTGATTTCCGTTTCGACATGTGTTGCTTGACGTCTGCTGCGGGTGCCCTACATGCTCATGGAGGTTTTAAAATCCTATACTGCAATACTGTGCGTTGTCGACGGCCAGCGACAGTTCGCCTCCGCACCCGAAGCACGAGAGATGCAGACATCCGAGGCAGCTTGAGGCTTATAGGTGCAGATACTGCTTTCTGTTTGCGCAGAACATGTGGCCCATAGACTGCTCCTGGAAAGAGGTTTCGGTGAGAGGTGTGAGTAACGCATGTCAACGAATGCAATGATTGAAGCCTTAGCTTTGGCTCAAGCTCTTCTGGATTTCCAGCTTCGCTCGTTTAGGGACACCGAAAACCCAAGCTGGCCATGGCTTTCTTCGATCGTGTGGGAGCGGAGGTGACCTTCGTTTACAGCCGCACGTTCATCGACGAGGCGCCCCTGGCGGTGAACCCTGGCACTCATCGTCGAAGCGTGAGCCTGCCACCC